GGGATTATTGCTCAGATCCATCTCTCAGAAGGCTGTCAATGCTGGGGAGGCCTAGAGAAGAAGAGCACTGCAGCAGGTGGGCCCAAGTGCCCTGCCACATGGGCCATAGGATCCAGCTGGGTCCCCAGCTGCTAGAATACATGGGTATAGGTGTCAACTGGCCCCTCTCCAAGAGAGCCAGTTAGGAAATGTGTGCTTCCCATTTCCTCAAACCTAAGTTCAGTTGGACTAGAAGGCCCGGTTCTCAGGCAGACAGCTACACTTTCACTAGGAAATGAGACAAGGGTCATTGTGAGCCCCCCTGCTAGAAATCAGCATGCAAATAAAGGAAGTGCTGCACTGACAGGTAATTGTGCACCTAGAGTTTCCAATATGCATTAGGATTGAAAGGACGATGTCTGTCATCCAGGACTGAAGGGGCATCTCCTGGTGCTTCCAAGTCCCATGAGAATCATGAACGGGAAGCTGCAGCAATCACAATCCAACAAGAGTGCAGTGACCAAGGGCTGCTTCAGTTCATTTATTTTCACAATAAAGATTTTAAAGCTCGAACTAGCAAGTGGTCACTTATTTATAAGAATTATTTGATATCCCAAAAAAAGCCACTCTTATAAAAAATGTGAATAACTTCTTAGAGAACATTTTAATAGGGCCTGACCACTATAAACATTTCTGTGTAATGTCTGTGACGTACACAAATGTACAGAGGTTGAGGTCTTGTTTTATATAAAAACAAGGTATCATAATAAAACAATTTAAAAAACATCTGTTAGGAAACAACACAGTTTGTTTGGCTGTTGAAAAGGAAGCACTCACTTCTTCACTGACAAATTTCCACTCCCGCTTCAGTTCTTCGCACCACATCTCCCATTCTTTAGCAGCTTCCAGCAAGCCCAGCCATTTCGCCCACAGAACCGACAGAGTTCTGAGCAAACACACGCCGTCGTCTTCTGTGCACCGGGGTCTCAAGTGTCTGAAGGCCTGTCGTAGTTTCGTTAACTCTTCCTTGATTGATATAAGATTTGACACCAAGGCCTTAAGAAAGAAAAGATAAAGGGGGGACATAATGTCTATTATTTGTTCTGAAACTTATAAACTATTTTTAAGTCTTGAACAACTGATGATTTCAATCTTCCATAAGTATTACATAAGCCATTTCTTGTCCTTTTGGAAGTCAATTCGGGCCAGATGAGAATTATCTACATATTATTGTATTCTGCATGAATTTGGGACTACGGGGACAAATAATGACCCATGAACCAATATTGCCAAGTAAGAACGTATCTTCAAAAGTAAATATTCTATAAGTATAGTAGTCCTCCCTTATCCATGGTTTTTTTTTCCAAGGTTTCAGTTACCCATGGTCAAATGCAGCCCAAAAATATTAAATGAAAAATTCCAGAAGTAAACAATTTGTAAGTTTTAAATTATGCATCAGTCTGAGTAGGGTTATCAAATCCCATGCCATCCTGCTCCGTGCCACCTAGGATATCAATCATCCCTTTGTCCAGTGTGTACACACTGTATATGTTCCCCACTTGTTAGGCATGTTGCAGCCTTCCTGGTCATCGGATCAACTGTTTCCAGTGCTGTGTTCATGCTCAATGGCAGCCTAAGACTCCCTCGCAATGCCTATGCCATTCACAATTCATCCCCTTAGGTAGGCATTTTATCACCTTACATCATCAGAGAAGAAGGCTGAGTACGGTACAATATTTTGAGAGAGAGATCATATTCATATAACTTTTGTTATAGTACATTGTTATAATTTACATTTTATTATTAGTTACTATTGCATTTTTTTGTTTTTGTTTTTGTTTTGAGGCAGGGTCCTGCTCTGTCACCCAGGCTGGAGTGCAGGGGCACAATCGTAGTTCACCGCAGCCTCAAACTCCTGGCCCGAAGCAATCCTCTCACCTCAATTTCCCAAAGTGCTGGTACTACAGGCGCGTGCCTAATTGTTGCTGTTAATCTCTTACTGTGCCTAATATATAAAATTAACTTTATCATAGGTATGTATAGGAGAAAACATAGTATATCTAGAGTTCAGTACAATTTCCACAGTTTCAAGCATCCACTGGGGGTCTTGGAATGTATCTTCCGTGGATAACAGGAGACTACTGCACATTTTGTTATATTAATATAAGTCTCTTCTGACAGTGCTTTTATTAAAAAAAAAAAAGTCTCCTATTTTACTAAGTAGGTTATTTGCATAATACTTCTTATATCAAACATCAACACAATATTAAAGGGTTTTTTGTTTGTTTTTGTTTTTGGTAGATGTTAAGTATAGCTAATTTAGAATGCCCTCATCCAAATCCTAATAACATAATGCCATAGATCCTAACGGATGAAAATAAGCAAAAAGTAAAATGTTTAACAACAGAGTCTGAGAAGTGACGAGAATTTAGAGCTCGTGACAGTTAGTAAGTGCTCAGTGGACAGCAAGGCTTGGTAGCTGCCCCAGCAGCATCCCTCAGAGTAACACGAAAGGCGGAGCTTTACAAAGGCCATCCATGAGGACAGGACACTATTGGGGATGAGCGTCCTATGAATCCGATTAATTAAATCTCTCAGAACCACTGCCTCATTTTTTTCCCTCTGGCTTTTGGGGTGAGGAATTTTCACGGGTGTACAACTCAGTCTGAAGATTTCCGTGGGTCGTAACAGAGCCACATTCTCTTCTGCCTCCACCTGTTTGTTTTGATGATTTTTTGCACACAGACTTACTGGGGACTTGCAAATACTATTACCTTGCTCTGTTCCAAGCGCTCTAAAGCTTCTTTGTAAGACACTGGCAAAGGGAACATGGACTGTGCAATAACTGCCTCCGTTTTGCTGAGGTTAGTGCAAATTTTCTCTTTAATTTTTCTATAGCATTGGTAATTCTTGAGATACCTAATGAGGCACAGTTAGAAAAAAAAAGATATTAAATCATATTCAACACAATATTCTAAACTTCCCAGAATAAATTCTCCACATTTAATTTCTTTACAAAAGATAGGATAACTTTCTTTTTTGCTATTCAATGCATTTTACAAATTTTTATTAACCATTCATCCCCAAAGAGACCTGCATATGGCTTTAAATGCAAACTTTAACAGGCAGGTAGGGCTGTCCTCAAAATGCCTAAATTGGAGAGATTTTTTTAGACAGTTCACTTCAGTAAAGTGAAAACTGCATTCTTAAACATGCTAATGAGCTGTAAATTAGTACAATTCTTACAGAAAACCACTTAGTCCCTGAAAAGTGCTC